TATGGTGATCAACTCACCGCACCAGGCTGTGTGATCTAACAAGCTGAAACAACTCTGTTTACATTTGATAAACATGAAAAACCTCTGGTGAGAGGGATTCAGATGGATAATAGAGCAAAACAATAAAGCTCACTGACTACGCCCTGGCTTCCTTACATGTTGCACTCCATTGTTTACTTTCCTGATTTTGGTCGCAGTGGTGAAAAATACGTTTTAAAAAACACCCTGTTAATGCGCTATTTTCCATAAGAAAGAGGCTTTAGTCTGCTTACTTTGAACACAGTGAATGTCGTCCCCTAACAGCTGACACTCTTAGCTTTTAATCATATCCCTTGTGTCCACTGGGTGGACCGTTAGTTTGCAGATTTCACTATATTGAAATAGCTCATTTACAAGTTTTTGAATAAAGGGAAGAAAAATGTTTAATCTGTTGTTTTAGCAGAACCAGTAGAAAATAAATTGTTAAGTTTAGTCTCCGGATCAATTGTGGAGGACCATTTCAAATTCTCTTGAATTAAAGTATATAGACCACCACCAAAAAAAATACTAATAATACTAAAGCGAAAGGTGGAAGTGTGAAAGTTTCAGCCATCACTTTAGTGACAGATGAGTGTTATAGTTTAGGTTAAAGAAGGAAATAGCAAAGGCTGGGGTTTTTCAAGCACTAGTTGGCCAACGCAAAACAGCAAACAATCCAGATTTTTTTCTGAAAAGATTTAGGAAGTTTGAATGGAAAGAGTAAGAATTGAGGTGTTAGATCATTAAGCCTTCTGTTTGAGTGTATATTGATTATTATACAGATTTGGAGAACATTTAAAAAGCCAGTAACCTGAGTTTACTGCTACATCCAGACATCTGAAACTGTATTCTACAGTTATGCAGTAATATTACACAGATGTTTGTGTGCTGATTATTTTGCACCTTTCAGAGTGGCGTTTTATTGCAGGCCGTCTATGGCAACTAATCATGGTGTCTAATCAGCATGATGATATGGCACACCTGTTAGGTGGGATGGATTATCTCAGCAAAGAAGTGCTCACAATCACAGGTTTAGACTGGTTCATGAGGGAAATAATTACCGGTATATTGTGTATGTGGAAAAACTTTAAGATCTTTGAGTTCATCATAAAAATTGGGAACAAAACAAAAGTGTGAGTTCATATTTGTGTTAGGTGTACACACCCCCAAATTCTGTTTCTCAGAATATTAGAAAAAATGTTTTAAATAGAGATGCAATAGACATTATGCAGTTATAGGGAAGTGTCCAGCAGACTATCACTGAAAAGCCCAAAACGATTATCGCTAAAGAAGATGGTAGCACTGTGATGAAAAGTTTAGTGAAAGGAAAAGAAAAACAATGTACACAGGCAATAGGATAACTTCAGGATTATAATTTATGGTGTTAAGGCTAGCCAACAAAACGGTATTCTGAACACAGGATACATGTGTCTGGTTACTTGTCTTAATTCACTCCTCAGTTAGAAAAAAAAAAGTCAGAAATGTTTCACTTGCACTAATGAAAATTTAGACTCTATTTAAGTTTAGTCCTCTTTTTATATGTCATTTTCCATTTCATTTGTAAGCTATAAAAGGTTAGAGTGAGAGTGGATATAAACCAAATTGCAATTTCAATGGATGTTGTTGGTCCACTTTTATCAAATCCAAAGTCTTTACAGCTGTTTATTGGGAAAAGTGACTTTGCTCTTTTATCTGTTGAGAAGCTTTGTGAAGATACTGATTTCACTTTTCACTAACTAAAACCTACTAAAAGCGGTTTTCATGGCCATAGTGCCACAGTGATCGGACCGGCCTAACCCGAAGCCCTCAGAGAATCAGTGGCTGTTGTCAGGAACAAAATAAGAGGCAGCAATGCAGATGTAATGCAAGATGAAGAACACTGGGAAAACAGCCAGGGCTTCCTTAAGGCCTCAGCAGAGCCACAAGCTGGTCTCCTCCGTGCAACAGACCATGGATGCATTGAACAGAGCAAAAAGTATTAAAGCATTTTGTGTAAAGTACAAAGATGTCTGGCTAATAGTCTTGGATTAAAAAGCTTTGATCAGCAAATAATAAAAAACAAATGGTGGAGAGATATTACACAAAGAAAAGCTTCAGTTTTCCAGTGCAATTACAGAATTCATTAACTAAACTCATTCTGCTTTATGGAGCTGCATCTGTAAACGTCTGTGGACCAGCCTGTGTAGAATGCATTAATACAAGCATGATTCCTTTGCTTAAATAAGCATGCAGACCATAAACATCTGTTGCTAAAAAGAATCAGGTAGCCTGGATATCATTAATAAAAGCCGGCAACTGATCGTTAGTAGTTAGAAAAAGAAAAAAAAAGTCAAAACAAGAAAATGAAAATCAAAACGGAGAGCAGACATGCTGTCAATTAATATATTTAGAGCTATTAAATGAATCAGTGCGAGAGGCACATTATTGTCTATTTCTGGGAAGCACAACAATGTACGGCTCTCCTAAAAATAATATGGTGACAAATTATTAGCAGAGATAATTAGGCTCCATTTCAGTGCCTCACACATGATCAGAAAAACAACAGGGAGACGCATACAACAGCGTTTACTCAGACACTCTTGGCTTGAAACCCCAAGAGGAAAGTCTCAAACTGTACATCTGATGCAATACTTAGCAACATCCCTGCTGACTGCCACAGCCTTTACCTCCAGGATTCAAGTACGTGGGAGCCGTTAGCCTGCAAAGGGATCATGCTAGGTCGCCTCCGAACACAGCAAGCTGATTGGCTGCTGTAGAGGGAAAACCTGTCTTTCCTAAGTGGGATGTTCATAGGAGCTGTATTTTATGTGAATTTCTGTAAAATCGTCATTACTATAGCAGACTATGGGGGGATCGAATCACTACATTATTCACACACCATTTGGAATCAGTGATAAATCAAGTAAGAAGAAGCTGTGCAGAGATAAAGGTGTCTTTGAGAAGTTCACATCTTTTTTTATTTTTTTTTATTTTCCTGAAACTTCTCACTTCTGCTTTCAACAAGATCAGCCACGTCCCTTTTAGAGCATGTGGTGAAGCTGTCGGATTCAGAAATAGCCTACATGGTCAGTGTACATGTGTGAGAGCAATTGTTCACATTGTGCATCTTTATAGCTACAGCCTTATCTACATCTCAACAGAATAAGGGTTACACCTTTACCTTCCCACCAACCCCCAACTTGTAAGAGTACAAATAGGCCTTTGTAACAAAAGTCGCAGGCTTTAAGTGTGTCAAGGTGCTTGTGGTCTAGCAGCAAGTTTACGAACTACATATAAAGTATCATTTTGTATTAAGTGAGATTAAAATGAATGGTAAGTAAATTGCTGCATGGAAGTGAGTGGATTTATTAGCACCAAGAGAAAAATCAAAAAGCACATTTGGCAATATAAGAAGTTTAAAGAGGGTGCTCTGCTGCAAAATCCTCAAGCAGCCTAATGTTCGGCTGACATGGTCCAATGATGACTCAAGAAATTTTAGGAATGTCAAAACGAGTCCTGTGCAGCATTTATTTTTTTTTGCCATGGTTGCTTAGGTGCTTTGTTCTACCCACAATAGATAGTGTAATGTCCTGCTAAAAAGACCAGCATTAATCCTTTAATCTCTTCACCAGGATGGCTGGTCATATTACAGCGTAAGAAGTAGGCTAATCTAAAAGTAGACACGGGCCTTTTATCATGTCCACACAGATGTTTGTGTGCTGATTATTTAGGAGCAAATCTGATAGAACATTATTTACTTTAAATGCCAAGGCTCTGCAGAACCTGTCCTTGAAGCATTTCTTTTTAAGATCTTGAAAAATCTTTTTGTCTGTTTTTGTATGTGCAGTTTATAAAAGCAAGTTAAAAGTATGATTTTAGGTTGTATATTTTTGGCTTGGAGTAATTCATGAAGTTCTTAAAAGACACATGAAGGACAACATGCAAGTCTATTAAATAAAAAGGTTCCTCTGTCTTGATTGGAACTACTTGTTTTGAAGTAAACAAATTCAAATAATTTGATCTTTTATAAAAGGGGGATAGTCTCATAACGATCATTTAAGAAAAAAAAAATCTATTGGGATTAAACCAGACGCCTTTTTCTTATTCTGGTGGCATTGTTTTCATACAGTATGAGAGAAATCAATTCTACAAATTATGCAAAGTTTATAGGAAACACATCAGAAAAGGGAGAAAAGGAACCTCTCTTCCAGAGATGAAATCAAGTGAATTTGTATTTTATTTATTTGTGTTGCCCCTAAAATAGGTATAACCCAGGGGCTCTCATCCCTTTTTCTTATTATTAATAACCTTATAATGGTTGTCATATAATTTGAAGATTAATGAATCTTACACCTTCCAAAATAAACCAGTGGATGAAAGCTTACCTTTGTTTATCACCAGGATTAATTATATCAACAAAAACGCAACAAAACTGACCTAACTACAAAAAATTTTACTTTACACATTTTAAAATATATAACCAAATACTTTAATACTTAATACTTTATTTAGCACTGTTCCCAACAACCTCAACTAGTTGTTAGATTCATGGTGATTTTGCAGTTTCTACCTTAGTCAGTTAAATAACATGCTGCTGTCATTTTCAAATATCCATTACTGTAAAAATGTCCATAGTTGTATATTGGTTATTTGTTCTCCAAGTGCACAGTATTTATATTGTTTATTTTTTTTTATCTCTTCACTATTATGTTAGTCTTATACACTTTTCTAAGGTCCACATTTGTGTGAGCATTTTTTCTATAAATTTTTTATTGCTGTAAACACCAGAATTTTCCCATTGTGGGACAGTAAAGGGATTTTTTTATTCTATTATATTCTACTTCAGTTATTTTAAAACTAACTTTCAGTTTATCAGTGCCACCTTCCAGAAAAGAAACGATTTTTCTTTTTGTTTTATAACATATCTGACATATAATTTGACATTAATTTGTTTTTTTCGGTGTCTGTGGGAGGCGCGCTCCCCCGTGGATCCTCCACGCATGTTTTCCGGCGGTCCAGGAGAAAAACTCCTTTGTTGCGGCGAACTTTTTAATCTGGGGTTTAAATCCCGTCACGGGGCGTCCTGCGGCTTCTTACTGAAATCCAAACCCAGGAGCAAAACGTTTCTACAGCCGGGAACATTTTTCACCCACTGGGATGGCCGCGCGGGGCGTGGGGCCGTGGGGCCGCAGGGACACCTTGGAATCCCTCTAGGCTATCGGGAACTTTTCTTTCTTTCCCGAAGTCAGTTTCTGGATAATCATGGCGCTGAAGTACAGCCAGAGATCCCTGATAGTTGTGTCTTTACTGGGGGTGCTGTCCGCCATCATGACTGTATTATCGGTGATTTTAATCTTCCAGCTGCAGACCCAGCAGGCGGCGGTGAAGGAGTCCGCCTCCGCCGCCTCCTCCTCGGCCATCCCCGCTCAGATGTGGGCCGTCCTGCTGCCGGTCTCCACGGTGCTGTCAGCGCTGTCCCTCACCCTCAACTTGAGCTGCGTGGTGGTGTGTCTCCTCCACAGCTACTTTTCCACGGAGGTCTGCAGAGGGGAGCAGGACACTGAGAGGTACCCGGCCTGCCTGCCTGCTGCTGCAGATCCACAACCAGCAGCGCCTCGGTCCAGATGGGACGCAGATCCAAAACATCAACAAAACCTGATAAGGAGCATTTTAAATGCTTCTAAATTGGAAGACGATCAATCAGTTTCAATCTGAAATAGTTTAGTTTTCTAGATTCTGAAACTATGAAACTGCCAAACTTTAATGCAAGAAAAAACCCAAACAAAAATCTCTTTTAACTTCAGTCATGATTAGATTAAACTAAAATTACTGCATTTGAAGTTTTAAAGATGTAGCTGTAAAAACTGATGTACAACTCGTTTTTAAAAGCAGAAAACGTTTGTATCAGAAGCAAACTTCTCCTCAGTAGATTCTCCAGGCCACTTTAAAAATGTTATAGTTTATTTTCAGGGAATATTTTCTTAATGTTCTCAAGAGTCATGTTTGGAAGATTGTGCTGACCTTTGAGAGGACGTAATGAAGGTTTTCCAAAGGTCATGTTATGAAGGGTGCAGGTAATCTAAAGGGAAAAATTAGGCTTGTTCACACTGCAGGTTTTAAGGCTCATTCAGATTTTTTGTGAAATCCAATTCTTTGGTGTTGCTGTTTCTATTTCCAAATATATGCGACTTATATGTAATCTCCTTTGTGAACTGCATTCATACAATGCAAGTGTCCCGCATGAGCAGGAGAGAACGCAATGACGCCACAACCAATCATGCTCTGTGTTTACTGGAGTAAACATGGATGGTAGTGATGGAGCACATCTAAACAGCTTTCCCAACCTTAAAAACTCAATCATTTCAAGATGTTTAAGATAAAGACTGATCTCTGGATTGATGTTCGGCATGGTTGTTGTTTTTCTTGCCACCTCTGTGTAGCAAGATGCAGAACATTTGTTGGGTATTAATGGTGTATAGGTCAGACGAATGCGACCTGGCCGTTCACACACAGGTCGCTTTGAAAAGCTCAGATTCATATCGGATTCAGGACCACATAGTCAAGCGGCTGGGGTTTCAATAAAAAAAAAAATCAGATCTGTGTTGTTCAGACTGCCATGAAAAGATCAGATACAGGTCGCATATTGGCAAAAGAATCGGATTTGGCTCACCTCAGCCTGCTGTGTGAACATCATCTTAGTTTATGCCAAGAAAAACCTGGAATATTAGCATTGCTTATTGTTTAGGATTTCATTATGTTCATTTAAGATCCTCTAAATAGGAGTTTGTCATAACAAAACATTCTCTGAAGGTCCTTTCAACATTTCCTAATAGTCTTGAGGATAGAGAACCTTTCAGGAATGCCCTCTTAGGTTTGATCAAATGAACGATGTTTAAGGAACCAAGAAACTTTCTCCATCAATATTAAAACTAACCTTTTAGAAACATTCAGGTTCCCTGAAGATCAGAAATCATCAGTTTTAAAGGAACTCATCTTTTTAACCTTTTCTAAAGGTTAAAATGATGAGTTCAAAGTATAATGTTTAGATGTTTTTTAAGGTTTCCTGAATGTTCTCTTACCTTTGAAAGATTTGAAGTAACCTAAGAGAACATTTGATGGTCTTTTCCAGAAGGAAAAGTGCTTTTAGAGGGTTTCCCCAAAAAGTTACCAGATGATATGATCAGGTTAATGCTTGCTAGCAAAACTCGGGCGTTTTGCATCGGTTCATATATGAGCCTTAATCGCTACTTTATAATTAAACAAAAGTTGTAAACATGTTTGGTAACAGTTAATCTAACACACCACTTCTCCATTAAAAACATTTTCTGTTTCGAGCAGAAATTAGCTTAGTCCATGCCTGCCTGGATGACAGTAATAATTCTTTCATATAAAGGAACTTAATTGTTAATTATCAACAGTAAAATGCTGCCATGGAGATGGCAGATCCCTGGAATTCCATACACATTTAGATTTTGAGAAAAAAAATAAAAAGTATTTCCACTCACTGCTTCATATCCTACATTGGTTCCTCTTTTTCTGTTTTAAAAACTGTTGCTATAGATGAAAGGAATAAGCTGTTTGCAAGTGTTTCTCCTAATGCCCACACCATCTTCTTTCGTTTTAATGACACCAACCAACCATAGCCCTGCCCTGGATACTAAATTTAACCATCAGTTTTTTGTGTGATGAAAGCATGGTTTCAGAAGAGGGGTTAGCCTTTTTTTCATAGAGCAAAGTTGGACTGGCTACCCTGCAGTCCAAAATACTGACCTTAGTCTTGTTCACTGTAAAAATCTGAAACCTAAGTAAGTCTTTCTTTCTTAAAATAAACGCATTTCGTCTTAAATTTAGGAGGTGAGATACTTTGCCGACTGAATAAGTAAATTTACATTTAAAATAAATTAAAAAAATTGCACTGTCCAATTTCAAGTGCATATTATGTAATTTTTTTTACTGTAAAAATACTCATTCCACTGCCAAATCATATTATTTACGTATTCAAATTAGGGGCAAATACACCTCACTATAACCCGCTGATATCTACTGAGCTGTCCCCCAACAAAACCTGTAGGGGGAGCTCTACATATAGCCCGTGGAGTACGGACGAGAAAGAATGCTAGCTCCCGTTAGCTTGTTGGCTCGCAGCAGTAAGAGCTTCTACTGAAAGATGGGGCTTCGTCAGCTCTTTATTTCAGCTCTGCAGGAGCCCAGTCTCTACATACGTTCAGCAGCTTTAATGAGGCAAATAAAAGTCAAAATGTGTGAATTCGGGACATTTGTTCTTCGCTGTGTCTGCTGGCATCATGTTCTTGTGCTAAATGAAATTAGCACTTTATCGTTTCATTCACTTTGACTCTTCCTTCTGGCGGTCAGGAAAGATCCACAGAACAGCTGTACCTTCTTATCAGCCTCATGGTTCAAAGCATGGGAAAAAATAGCTGCTTATAATCCGGAAAATATGGTAATTTAAGGAACGTTGACTTATTTCTAGATTGTTTTGCAGTGTTATGCACACAGCGGACGGCAGCTGGCCCTTCCCACAGCGGTTTACTAATTTCACGCCAAAGCCTGGGGCCTCCCTGGTCCAGACTTTGGTGAACAAAAAGGGGATAATAACTAGTATTAAACTAACATATCAAATAAACGAATAATCAGTTTACAAGTGACAACACAAGCTTTTCCATTTTTATTAACCAATGCAACAACTTAAAAAGTGAAGCATTAAACATTGATGCTGAAACCGGATCTCTTTCAACAGAGCTGACTGGTTTCTCCTGGATAGCAGAGCTGTGCGGCATGTGGCTATTGGACTATTCTGTCTGGGGGTGTCTATCTATTTGGCAGGTAAGAATGCACACACACACACACACAAAAAAAAAAAAAAGAGATAACAGTTTGGTTACCAGTTATGGTTAAATCTATTCCAAAATGTGACCAATTACATTTTTCTTAAATAACCCATAAAAAAAGTTGTAAACAAAAAACAATGCTATTAAAGTGGATTTTCAGCAGCAGAGGCAAACCAGCGCTGCAGCTTTCCTCTAATCCAGCCGTCCAGTTTGAGAGAACAATGCATCCTTTGAGCAGCCATGACTAAAGAGTTTCTAATGCTGAACCTGGCAGTGCTGGTGTACTCTGCTCCACAGAGTGGCTGTTATTTTAGCAGATGGGTGGTGGTGGAGAGATCATTTCACTATCATGGCTGGTTGTCTCCTGGTGAGCCCACCTCTGTCGCAGTCAAATGGTAGACCTGCAGGGAAAATGTCAAGGCCAACTCCTGAAGTCGCATCACATGCCAGAGCTGTGCCTTTCCCCTCCTTCCTTCATCATCCCTGGGTCCATTGTCCTTTTCCTGCAGGCAAACAGATATCGATGAGAAAAGTATCTCTCAGTTTGAGTTCAGTTTACATTTAATTAGCCTTTTAACGTCTTCATATGTTCCATTTACACTAGCTCTCTGAAACTGATCCATGCTGAGTTTGGACCGAGCTTGGTTCTTATGACATCATGCTAGCATGATTCATCCCCTCCTATCGGCAATCCAAGATACCACAGCTCTCAAGGCGGGAATTTCGCAAACATATATGGCAGCGTCCATAAGGTTCAGGAACTTATGTTTGTTTATATTAGTTATATTTGGTCGTTCGCAAAATGTCAGGCGAAGAAGGCATCCCTCATCATCAATGGTATCTTCTTTTGATGCCATTTATTGTTAATAAACTGAGAAGAAGTTCATGTTGTGAACAAAAGAAGAGATTTGTGAATTGCCAAGCTGGACATGCAGGAACATCTTTAAACTGAATGAGCTGACTGAACTAGTACAAGATTAAGCATGGTTCGATACAGTCTGGCACGGTCCAGTTCAGTTGCATTCCAATTATGCTCAAAAGTTATCTCGGTTACTGTGCTCACACTGTTCTCGGCACGGTTAGTGTAAATTGTGTAATAGCTTGTTGGTTGTGTGTAAAGGTATTCTCTGCACAGGAACATCTACTTGTTTCCCAAACTTCTCCCTTTTCTTTTTGGCAGCCATGTCCATCTTCATGCTCCTGATATTCGAGATGGAAACGGGTATTGCCAGCGCCTGCGTACTCTCGTCTGGGATTCTAATCCTGCTGGTAGCAGTGATACACTCCCTGGTCAAAGCTTCCCATAGCACTAAACACTATAAGAGAGACCTAGCCGACACCCTGTATCAAAACGACCACAGCACCACACACGCTTCGAGAGCCTGTGAGCTAAGAATTGGAGTCGACAAGCCACGAATTCACCGCAGCCAGTCTCATATCCAGCATCCTATCTCTTACCCGCCGTGTGGCAATATCAGGCAGCGTGAACATTATCAGCAGCAGTACTCCCCCACTGAAGGCACGCAGAGCCATTCCAGTGATAAAGATGGATACATCGGAGGTGGGAGCTGCCCTCGAATCCATCGGACCTTGTCTACTGAATCTGGCTTACTACAGGCGCAGGTGAGACCCTGGAATGGGGTCAACAATGAGATGAGGAGCGTTTTAGCTCGAAAATCTGGGATTTCAGCAAAAGACTCAACCCTTGTGTGAGCAACTGTCTGTGTGTGTGTATTTGTTATTTGTTAACTTATGTCAAAGTTAACAAATATAGTTAACTTTGACATAAAGTTCCAGTTTGTATGATACAAGCATCCACTGGATTCTACGATATACCCTTAATGAAAAACACCCTGGTTTTATACTAGAGTATATTTGAAACCACAAGATGTATTAAATGATCAATTAGCTTTTATCAAAAAAGAGAAAACCATTAAAAACAACAACACTTAATTACATTTATAGGAGTTATAAATATCAATGGTCCAAACATTTGACCCCACATGATCTCGGAGTCAACAAGCAAGGGGGTCCTGTGCTACGTTTACACCTAACATGCAGCAGAAACAGCTGCGTTACATACAAAGTCTACGGTTGACGCGCATCAATGCGCATCATAAGGTCCTGCAGCACATATCTAGCAGCAGGAGCAGTGCATCATGACGCATCTGAGCAGTAGATTCAGCATCTCATGATCTTCGGAGAATCTGAGGCATGTGGTGCGCTTCACAAGCGGCAGATGCTGGAGTTGGAAAATGTACCTTTTGCTGCTCGATGCACTGCATCAACCAATCAGAGAAGCTGATCTGGGAGCTGGCAGGGAGACAGACACAGAACTGCTGATGCAGAGCGGCATGATCACTCCAATGAAACTGTTTATTAAAGCCTAAATTAACTAACAACTACTGGAAAAATATGTTCGCTCTTATATTTCTGATGCCTGCAGTTTGTTCCAAATACCTGAAAAACCCTAACATCTACTTCCAGCCGCCAGGAACAGTAGGGGAAAAACCCCAAGAGGCAACTGGTTCTGATGCAGCTACAGCTCGTGATTCCAAGTGACAGTGCACCGCCGGTATGTGGGGGTCTGAGCGGCTCCGACAGCAAAATAATATTTAAAAGCAGGATCATAAATAATCTTGATGAACTGACTACACAGACAATGTTTTGAGGTGGACTTTCTAGAATAAAAAACATAATAAAACTACTTTTGACCCACTGATCACAGCAAATATAGCAAAGCCGCTCTCTGCCATTGAACACAGGAGCAGCAGAAGCATCTGATGCAACTGGACACACGTTACTGGACGCACTGCAGGAGCATTTAAGATGCTCTTGAGGCATGTCTAACCTTAATGTGGACAAGCATCAAAATGAAGGAACAGGTGCTATTTTGCTGCTCAAAGCATGTGTGGTGTGAACGTAGCATTAAGGTCTTAAGGAATCAAACTAAACAATAAAAATGAAACAATTGTAAAGAAATACAGTGAATTAGAGGTGATTAAAAAGATACACGAGAAATAAATAAAAGGAATTTGTCTGAAATGATGAAACCTATGCCAGATGAACTTTAGACCAACAGCTCTAAAGTGGCTCACCCAGAGTCATAAGTGGATTCTAATGGAAAATCAGTGGGGAGAGCTAAAGATTAGGGTGGTGGCAGTGAGGCCTTCCAAGCTGAAAGACTTAGGTCTGCCAAGGGAAAATTTTTAAATTTGGAAACATAAAAAATGCTGATCAGCAGCTATAGCAGGGCTTTACAGATTTTCACTAACATTCAATTGGAGCAGTCTCTAATTAAAATAGTCAAGAAATAAACCTTTTTTTTTTTTTATAATTCTTTAATATTTTTCATTATCTTTTGAGTGATCCACAATCTCATTACCCATTAAAAAAAATATATGATTGAGTGAAAAATAATGCTGAATCCAAGTCCACCAAGGATATGTAGAAATTAGGGCTCAGCTATTTAGAAAATCATGATTCCTCACTTATTGGTCAGAAACTATATTCTAGAAACTACTGAACTATGATCTACCATATATAGGTATATGAATAATGATTGCTCAAAAAATCTGTAGAAATCGTATGTTGAATTTAGTAGTTGTCTAAAACATGATTTTAATTGGGCAGCATTTGTCATTTTTCTTCTCTTCTGAGTTTTATTAATGAATAAGGAGCTAATAATTCGTCCTGTTTCATGCTTGGTTAGCCCGCCTGCAGTAGACATCCTCACTGATATGTTGCTAGTCAGATGATAACTGTAGTTCTACTAACAGGGGGTAGCATTGGTGGCACTACATTTATATTCAAACCATAGCTGGATATGTTTATTTTTTTTTTTTCAAACACATATTTCATGGAAATATTTCCAAAGAGCTTCTTCTTTCTCTAACTGGGCATACACTGTACGAGTTTTTCCCCTTTCCGGACCGATTATCATGTGTTGTGAGAATTTTTTGGATCGTGCCGAATTCAGCCTCATTGTGCGTCCTGCTTCGTCTAGTATACTGGGAAGATCAGCCTCTCACGACCAACTCACCATCAGGAATCGTAAGGTCAGGAGAAAAATCAAACATATTTGGAATTCAGTCGGTCACTGTAAGGTGTTCGGGGGCAAATCCTGCAATTGAAGAAGGGCTAAGAGCATCTACAAGCTGATTTACCAGAACCTCTCGCACTGCCCATGTGCAAACAAGGGAGTTCTCCTTCTTCCAGATTGATGAGTCAGACCAACGCCATCTCTTGGCGGCAAGTCTGACATCTGGTTTTTGGACGTGCAGTGTGAGCAGTAAAGCTTGGTTTATTCTTGCCATGTCGTACCTACGAATTCTTCTAATATAGTGCGCCAACCACGTTCCAATGGGAGGAAATGAAGTTGTTCTCAATGAAAAAGTTGGCCTTTACTGACATCAAATGGTGCAAAAGGTTATAGTTGAAGAGTGCAATTAAATGCAGTGTTGTTACTGTTCATTCAATGACTGAAAATGGCATACAGGAGTGAGTTTATTGGCCAAGCTTGTAGTACAAACAAGGATTTTAGTTTCTGTTTCCATCACATACAAAATAAAGCCTAAATTAACTACCCATAGTGTACAGTGCATTCAGCCTTAATTAAGTGAAAGGTTATTTTAGACATCCATCCATCCATTATATGACAGGCGTGTCCCAATTGGCGTTGCGAGGGGTGCTGGTGCCTATCTCCAGCAGTTAATGGGCAAGAGGCGGGGTACACCGTGGACAGGTCGCCAGTCCATCGCAGGGCAACACAGAGACACATAGGACAAACAACCATTCATGCACACACTCACACCTAAGGATAATTTAGAGAAGCCAATTAACCTAACAGTCATGTTTTTTGACTGTGGGAGGAAGCCGGAGTACCCGGAGAGAACCCACGCATGCTCAGGGAGAACATGCAAACTCTATGCAGAAAGACCCTGGGCCAGGAATGGAACCCAGAACCTTCTTGCAAGGCAGCAGTGCTACCCACTGAGCAGCCCGTTATTTTATACATGTCAATAAAAGAGAGGTCCGTATGGGCTTCGCAGGAAGGGGGCTGGTTTCCCCATCATCACATCTCTGTGTGCAGCAGATAAACCTACCGTTTTATTCCACCATATATTTCTGTGTAACACACCTAATCTTAAAAAATCACTACTTTTTAAAGAAACAATACTCTGTTCGGCCATTTTGGAAGTTGGGCCTCAACTGTTTCTTCTCATTTCTGTGGTTTTTTTCGGTACTGCACCTAAATCCGCATCAACTATAAAAGGGTACAGGGCTTCTATGGGCTCGAGCACGGCACGCACAGACCGGCGCGATAACCCAATGTACGATTATATTTCAAACTTTAGATCGCATCAAAGCATCGGGCTGTACAGTTTAACAACATCCATCGTGAGCTGTAAACTTTCAAACCCTGAAGTTTTGTTGTACAGTTTGAACTGTAGCTGCGTGCAAAGATCGAAAACATTGTAAAGTGTATGTCCAGCCTTAAGTTAAAAGAATTGTTTGGGAAATGTTAATTCAGCTATTTGAGCAACAGTCCACAGTAACAGACATCAAATGAAATTAATGCAAAGACGGAAAATGTTTGCAGTTTAAAAAAATGTAAAACCTTGATGTTACCGATCAGTCTATTCTTAAAATTATCTTTCACTAACTTGATATAAATAATATGCATAACCAAGTATTTTACTGTATAAAATGTCTTTTTATTAGAAATGTGCAAATGTATGTTTTTGTGTTCAAAATGACTCCATACAGATCTTAAATAAACTCTAAAAAAAACAGCTTTTTACTTAAAATATAATCATTTCTAAATTAAATAACAGTTATAAAACTGTGTGATCTAGTAATGACACTTTATTGTGAAATCACACCGTGTCTAGAGGAGCTACTGACCTTGGACACATCTGTCAAATGTTCATGAGGAAGCAGATGATGGAGCAGGTAGAGAGGGACCAGGAGATGGAGTCACATCAATTGGTCTGCATGCAGGTGTTAATGGGAAAAAATAACAATGAAATAAACAAGAACACAAACAAAAGAAAACTAAAACTTAAACTTATCCCAATAAGAAGTAAATAAAAAGGCAAATGAATATGAGGTAAAAATGAAAAAAAAAAAAGAACAAAGACCAATAAGTGAGTGAGGGTAGACGGACAAATAAGGTCATGTGATTAAACTTGAGTGGTCAAATCCCAAAACTCAATGTTTATTAATTAAATGAAAGAAAATGTGTTTTCTGTCTGAGGAGGCAGACCTCTAATTTTAACCCTTTGCTTTCTACATCACTCTGAGGAAGTTCCAATCGTCTTTACTTTAAGCTCTGAGATGTTTGCATGTTCAGGGTCTAGTTCTGCTCAAACTGTGTTTATTTATTTAATCAAACTTCCTTTGAGACACATTCAGATATATGGTGGATTCTATGATGGTGAGCTAATAAGGTCCTGCCGCAGCAAATCATTCCCAAACCTACTAATTCTGCCTCCTTGACTGGAACAGTGGCGGTTCTAGGTGATTTTAACTGGGGTGGCCAAGGGTTTTCCAGAGGTGGCAACATTAGCAAGATACCTGACCAGTGGTAGTTCAAGAACACTTTCAAGGCAGGAGCCACTGTACACCAAGGGGTGGCTGAGAACTATACTGTTTAAAACAAACCGACAGGAAAAAGAACGCGCACAACATCTATATTTTCCCAATAAATCTGTGACAACAGACCAGATTTTCCCTTCTGATAAAGCTATGCACATATTTATATATTAGTGCCATTTGAATTAAGTCATGGTTCTACATATTAAAAGCCTTAAATGGATGGAGCAATGTTTTTAATCTTTAGAGAAGAGTCCTATGTAACTGCAGGGACAACCAGTCCCCTATAAAACCTAAAAACTAATTCATAAAAGAGCAAACATTCTGTATTGGTCCTCTTTATTTGTAGCATATTCTTGTAAATTTTTATTTTTTGCAGAATTTTTATATTTAGTTTTTGGTTAAAATTAAAAAGAGCATTAAAATGTCTCTTTCAAAGTAAGGTATCACTACTGCCTCCATTAGGTTTAGCGGAGAATTGCTTGTTCCAGGGGTAC